AATAAGGCTCACTCTCTGACTACAGAACTTCACTCCCGTAGTTATCCCCTCTTTTTACATCAACTGTTTTTCCCTCTTGGCAAGATTATTCCCACCAAGCTCTAATTTATCACAGGACCCTCTACCTATTTCCCCATTTGCTTTCATAGCAAAGCTCTTCTAAAGAGTAGACTTATACCCATTGCTTCCACTTTCTCTCTCTCTCTCTCTCTCTCTCTCTCTCTCTCTCCTCTCTCTCTCTCTCTCTCTCTCTCTCTCTCTCTCTCTCTCTCTCTCTCTCTCTCTCTCCCCCACTCTAGCAGGGTTAGTTCCTACCACTCTTTTCTGTCAAAGACATCAAATTTTAAAGTCATTGATGTGTTTTCATCTTATTTGACCCAGCAGCATCATTGGTACAACCAATTATGCTCTGCTTCTCAAAACATTCTCTTTTCTCTTCTTCCCTACCCTTCCTTTCCCTCCCCTTCCCTTTCCTACCCTTCCCTCCCTCCTCTCCCCTCCCCTCCCCTCCCCTCCCCTCCCTTCCCCTCTCCTCTTTTCTTTTTTCTTTTTTCTTTTATTCATCTTCTGACCTCTAAACGTTAGACTGCCTCTGATCTCAATCCTCAAGATTTCTTCTCTTCCCCACCCATGTTCCCAGATTCTCCATGCTGATGACACACAGATTTCTATCTCTAGTCTGGACCTCTCTCCTAAAGTTCAGATTCCCATGTCTAATTTCCTGTTCAACTTTTCCACTTAAATGTCTGATGGGCATCAGAAATTTACTATATCCAAACCCAAACACTGGAGCTTTCCCCTCTTACCTGCTCCTCCTATCAGTAAGTAGAATCGCCATCATCACCTATTTAGGCCAAAATCCATAATTTCCTTTGACTCCTCTTTCTGTCATATCCCACAAGTGAATTAATACGTCCTGTTTGGTTTATTTTGAATGTATATCTAGATTCCATTTACAATTATCATTGTAGTCCAAAATTACCATCACCTCTCTTTTAGTCTATTTCTATTCCTCTGTCTGGTCTCTGCACTTCCACTCTTGTACTTCCTTCCACTGACCACACAGGATGCTCTTTTAGGAGTCAAGGCCAGGTCATGTCTTTTCTCTGAAGAAACCCCTATAAGTGTCTTTCATTTTCCCCTAAAATATAAGCCTGTTGGATATCCCTCTGGCATCGTTTCCTGCTAGCCATCTTCTAGCTCTTCTGCATTAAACACAGTGACCTCTTTGCTGTCCCTGGAGCATGCCAAGTTTAACCTGCCTCAGGGCCTTTGCACTTGCTTTTCTTCATACCTAAAAAGATTTCCCCCAGTATAGCTACAGAACTTGTCCCATAACTTCATTCCTATCTCTGCCCAATGTCCTCTCCCCTGGGTTGTCTTCCCTGACCCAAACACCCCATCAAAAAATAGCCCACCCCGTCACTCCTGAGCTCCTTGCTTTGTTTTCACAGCTCCCTTCACCTCCATACTCTACATAGAATCTACACGGTATGTGATAACATATCAGATAGATGATAGATAGATAGATAGATAGATAGATAGATAGATGATAGGAGACTCGGGTTATTGTCTGTTTCCATCCTCATCCTAGTGTCATCACTAACTTAAGAATCCTACATCCCACCTTATAAAACAGCGCCTGCTACATATCAGGTGGCTCAATAATTGTTGAACAAATCACCACCTGAAATTATTCAAATTTCATCCTTTGTTCCAAGTGTCAACAGTGCCGTAATAACTGAGGTTTTATGGCTAAGGTACACCTCAAAACCTCTGGGTTTTAAATAATAAAACCTTAGTCATAATTCTGAGGAATTTGTCCAGTGAGTAAAATTCAGTTTCTTCTTAACAGAACTTCTGTCACTATGTTGGCTCCTCCTGGCTTTGGCATTCTCTCTCTAGCCCTCCGACTCTGATCTCTCCCATTGATTGCTAACTTTGCCCTGTTATGTCTTACTCAAGGTACCATATTTAAAATTCTGCCTACGATTCTGCCTTACATCATCAAATACTGTAACAGGATGCCGGAGAGCAAGAAAATTGAAGACCCCAGAACGGCTTGCTTCTTTTTTTTGTCTTCCTCTCCTCCTCTTTTTGTTTCCAGGATATTTTAATTTTTCCTATTCTATAAAATCAAGGTGATTAATAGAAATAAAGTTTACAGACTTCAATGCTATAATACAAAGTTATTGTCTTGGAAATTATATTCTGCTTAGAAATGTATTACAGATGAAGTCCGTGTTCTGGACCAGCAAACACATGTAATTATGCAGGAAAAGTATATCAGAGAAGGTTGACTGTTGCAGGCATGGGAAATAAGTTGACCTCTACTCAAGTTACTGCCGTGAATACACAGAAGGAAGGACCTGCATCTGTTTCTCATTGTAAATGCCTGCAGTGCCCAGAGCAGCACCACAAACCCCAGGAGTGGCCAGCAAACATCCTCAACGAGGGTGCTAAGGCTGACCACAGCCTCATCCCTGTGGTCATATTGTCAAAACAGTGTCCAGTACTTGACTTGCCATCCTAAGTTCATATAATTCTGAATAGGCTTTACAGGATTCAACTCAAATAACCCACTTCTAACTTTGAAAATAAAAACTAAAGCATTAACCCCCTGCTGGAGTTTAAGCTCCTCTAAGGCAAAGATTTTGTCATATTCCCAGCCACAGAGGCACATGACTGCGGTACTGGATGTGTCTTCAAGGTCAACTAGTCCTAATTCAACCTCCTTGAATGAGTAGATAATACAACCTATCACGGTTGCATTCCTTGTTTGTTCGTTTTTGTTTTTTTCATCTCTAATTGCTGTCCCATCTCATACTTAAGGATTTCAAACTGAAAACGCTCCAGCTTGCATCTTTGGCAAGTGAATTGAAATGACCACATGCATAGCCTTTGTCATATCCACTTGGGACCAGAAACAAGGTGGTAAGGTCAGCTTGCAGCAGCATCTCCCCCCCTACACACACTCCCCTTTCCCCAATGCTGATGTGCCTAACTCCACTCACAGCCAGGCAGCCATGGCCTGCTTGAAAAGAAATGAATTTACATGACACTCACTCTTAGGGATCTTCTCAAGCCTGGCTCTTGTGAGTAAAACATGTAGCGGTGCTTATTACAATGCATAAAGTTATCGTGTTGACACTCACATACTTAAAAGAATGATGAATACAGAAACATCACCTTCCATCAGATTATGGCCTCACCAGGGCAGACCAGGGATCAGTATTCTCTGTTCTTGTCAGGAGGCCAGACAGGGACCTCAGAAGCAGGGTGTTCCATCAAAAAGGGCCTCGGACCCCCAGCCAGGGCACCTAGTTCTGAAGACTGGAGAGGCTAGCAGAGAAAACCACCCGGTGGGAGGGGACTGACACACGGAGGCTCTGCTATGCTGTTAGAAACAAGTGAGCTTGCCCCCTCAGCTTCCTTTCCACCATCCCTTAGCTTTCCACACAGACATTCAAAACGGGGCCTTTTATTTTTTAAAAATATATTTTATTGATTTTTTACAGAGAGAAAGGGAGACATAGAGAGCTAGAAACGTCAATGAGAGAGAAACATCGACCAGCTGCTTCTTGCACACCCCCTTCCGGGGATGTGCCCGCAACCAAGGTACATGCCCCTGACCAGAATTGAATCTGGGACCCTTCAGTCCGCAGACCTACGCTCTACCATTGAGCCAAACCGGTTTCGGCTTTTTTTAAGGTTTTTTTTTTTAAATTATTATTATTTTAATGATTTTTTACAGAGAGTAAGGGAGCTAGAGATAGAGAGCTAGAAATGTCGATGAAAGAGAAACATCGACCCAAAACGGGGCCTTTTAAATCTGTCTTCACAGGAAGGTGGTTCAGCGCAACACTTCAGCTGATAGCACAAGGCTCCCAGGGCAGCGCTTCGCTGCCTCCTCAGCATATGCCAGTGCCCATTTTACAGGGGGGATTTATGATCCTCCTCTCAGTAGAGCGAGTCAAAGTTTTATAATATTCATTAAAAAATCAGCACCACACGTAATAATATGGAATACTGCCTGCACACAGGGGGGCCGGGTTATAGGTGTTCGGGGGAAACGTGGCATAATTTCCTGGCCTTGGCGGGGTAGATTTGCAGGCACCAGCATTCTACTAGCACAACCGTCTTTTTATTGCAAATGTTCGTTCCGTCTAAGTCCTAATTACTTTCTGTAAAACCTTAACCACACCATCAGGCTTTCTTCTGACAGGGCAGCCACACGATGGCCTTCAAGTGCAGGAGCAGCACCAGGGCAGCCTCCGGATGGAGAGGCAGGAGAGAGGCTGGGTCCCTGCAGAGGTGGAGGCTGAAGCTGGGAAGACTGGCTTTTCAGGGATGCTCCAAACTTCTGGCTCCCCCCCCCCCCCCCAAAAAAAAACACAAAAAAACCCTGGTGTGGGGACTTAGATGCTCCCTCAGTGGGACACATTGAGACCCCTCCACAAGGACCCAAACGCCCCCGTCCTAGCCAGGAGCTACCCTTCTTCGCCCCATCCCCACCCCAAAGGGTCGGCTTAGTGGGGGGCCCGTATTGCATCTTTTCTCGCCCCTCCTGGGAAACGCTAGACAAGGCAGCAACCCTCGGAGGGACTGGAGGTCCGGCTCCCCTCCCAGGATGTTGTGCCCAGAATTCTGCCCCCTTCGTACTTGCCACATCGGCCCTCTCCACACTCCACACTCCACAGGACCCCAGCCCTTGCCTCTCAAGGCCCCGGAGAGTCCCGGGCCCGGCTGGACAGGGCCTGATGGTCAGCCAGGCCTGGAGCAGCGGGGGGCTCTCCGGGCCGCGCGGCCACACAAAGCGGAGAGAGCGTTGGCGGAGGAGGCGGCGGTGCGAGGCGCGCCCCCTCCCGCGAGCCGGCGGAGCGCGCGTGCCCGCCCCCGCCCGCGCCCGTGCCCCCGCCCCCGCCCGCGCCCGCGCCCCCGCCCGCGCCCCCGCCCGCGCCCCGCGCCCCGGCCCTCGGAGCGCCATTCGCGGAGCGCCTTACGCCGGCCGCCGGGGAGGTGCGCCGCCCGGCTCCCGTAAAGTTATTGTGAATGGGGAGCGGTGACGTCAGCGCCCGAATGTCAACAATGTAGCGATTGAGAGTGTGGGCGTTCCGGGGAGAGCGCGAGCCGCGCGGAGCCAACAGCGCCGAGCCGCCGCCGCCTCAGCCGCCGCCGCCGCCGCCGCCGCCGCCGTGCAGCCCGGGCTCCGATCGCAGCAGCAGCGCCCGCCGCCCTCGCCGCCCGCCCGCCCGCCCCCGCGGCCGCCGGGCTCTCGCGCTCCCCCGACCTGCCCTCGACCCCTCCCCTCCCCTCCCCCCTCCCCCCGGCACACTCTCGGGGAGCTGGGAACCAGCTGCCATGTGATGCGCGTCCCCTCCTCGAGCTTTTGGTGACCCCCGAACCGCCCACCGCGCCGGCCGCCGGGAGGGGGCTGCGGGCTGGGAAGACGCCGAGGAGAGGAGGCGGAAAAGGGCGCAAAGTTCTCCGCGGAGGTGAGTGCCCGGGCCCGGCCCCGGCGCCGGGCGGGGTGGCGGGGCGGCGGGGCAAGTTTGAGGGGGGCGGTGGGTGCGCGGGGAGGCGTAGGGGGGCGGCGCGGGGAGGGAGCCGCTGCCCCCCCCCCTCCTGGCGCGCAGCGGCCGGCCGGGCGCCCCGCCGCGGTCCCGGCTTTTTCTAGGAACGGGAAGGCGGTGGGAGCCGATCGTGCGCCCTCTCGCCGGCTGTTTACGAGGCGGCATTGTATTGGGTTCGCCTTGTCGACGACGGGTGTTTTGGAACGGCCGGGGGAGGAGGAGCGGAGGGCGATAAGTCAGGCGCGGGGAGGGCGGGCTGCAGGGAGGCGCGCTTCTGCGGGAGCCGGAGCAGCTGTCAGACCCACGGCCCGGCGAGGCCCGGCGCCCCGGCCCCCGGCCCGCGATTTCCTCGCGGGGCCGGACGGCCTCCAACCTGCCCGCGGCGGCGGCGGTGCCCGGGACTTGCTCCGGGAGCCCCGCGGCCGCCGCGCTCTTTGCGCTCAGCTGTCAGTGGCCGCGGGGTATCCGGAGCCACTGAGCCCGGCAGCGGGGCATCAAAGCCCAAGTTTAGAGTTCCCGGGAAGCGTCAGGTTGGGGTCCCCCAGCGCCAGAACTCGGACTGATCGCTGGGTGGGACCCCCTCCTAGCCAATGGCCAGGTTATCGGGATGCGTCCCTGGGAAGGCAGAGCGAGAGGCTCCTGCTATCCGAGAGGGGGATCTTGCAAGATTCTGCATGAAATCAAAGTGCAACACACACCCCCTTCTCTCTCCCCACACACACCCGTCTACAAGCCCCAGAAGCTCCATCGAAGGAAAGGGGTTTATCCAGGGGACACCTCTCCGTCTCCCCCCGTGGAGGCGCGGGGTGGGGGTCTCCCCCGGCGGGTGCTCACTCAGGAGCCGAGCGCCCCCGGAGACAGGGCGGTGGGCGGCGCTCATGGACTACCCCGGCTGCCCACGAGAGGGGACTCTCGCCAGCTTCTCGGTGACCTCCGTCTGGCCAAGGATTTGCAGGAACTCGGACCGTGGGAGGAAGCAGGCAGGGCCGGGGTTTGTGTGTGTGTGTGTGTCTGTGAAAGCGGCCGCGCTCTCCTGACTCGGTGGGTCGTGGATGCGCGGGGTGTCCCCGGCACGCTTTCGTGTGTGTGTGTGTGTGTGTGTGTGGGCGAGTTTGACAACTTGGGGGAAGTTGGAGCCCGGCGCTGTCAGGATGGTTGAGTCTGTGTAGCTCCTTGCTGCTCTGCTCCTCGGAGACCCGCGGCCCCTGGGAAACGATGGGAACGAAGACTCTTCACAGCCCCAGACTCCCTCCCGGGGGAACCGCGGAGGGCGAGAGCGGCGTTCCTCCGTTTTCACTTTCTGTCTGGTGCTGCCGCCCCTCCCTCGCTCTCGGTGTCAATGTTATCTGTTGAGTCTTAACTAAAAAGGGTAATTGTTTTTAGATAAAAATCCTTTCCTGCCTGGTGGGAAGCTTGGCGGAGATGGTGCCTAATGAGATATTTTGCTTTTGTCTTTTTTTTAAGAGTAAAATTAGAGATGTTAGCTGATAACGGTTTTCTCCGGTCATTAAAATGTAACGTGTAGGAAAGGCATGCCGGGCTGCGAAGGCTCCGGCCGACATGAAAGAGGCTGAGGAGCCGGAGAGGGCTGCTTTTGGTGAGAAAGGAAAAGTCTCACTTAAAATGTGAGGTTGCTCCACCCTGCTTCTTCAAGCTGCTCCCCAGCAAGCGGCATTTTTCATTCTTGCAGGTAATAATAAACGGGGAGTCAAAATGACATCTTGTTAGAATTAGTCTTTAAGTCTGTAAGAGCGATTGCTAAATTACAGTGTTGCATTGAGACTGCTCCCGTGAAAGGTCTGTCAGCGTTTTCATTATACATTCAGTGTTTAGGAGTTTATAATTTCACCACAGAACTTTGAGTGGCTGGATTTTTTTTTTCTCTTCTAGTGTTCTGGTTTTAAAAAAATGCATGGGGGGAAAATGTGCATTGATTGCCCACTTCCATCCTATTTGCTATTCTGGAAACTTCAATATCATTCAAACAGGACTCCCAGAAATGGCATACACAGTCATGGAATAAAGTACTTTTTGTGAAAGCATCCTTTATTTGTGTAGAGCAGTAATTTCATTCTGGATTTTGGAAGGCTTTTACGTTTGCCATTTGGTAATCATAAATGTGTTGAGCTAATTCTTCTGGTATCTGTCGATTCTGCAGGTGGATTGAAATGTCAGTTCAGATTGTATATGCCAGGGTTATATTGAGGAACAGTCTCCTCATATATGTGTATGTCTGAACTCATGGCTAAATTATGAACCACTCCTGTTAGTGACTTCTCAGTGCTTTGTGTGTGTGTGTTGCCAGTGAGGATCTGCCATAGAGAAGGAATAAGGCAGAACGTGAGGGAGGGAATCTGGACCCCCCCCCTTTTCCTCTCCCCCCTCTCACTTTCCAGTATTACTAGTGCCTGGGAGGAAGCCATTTATTCTTTCTATTGAATTATGCCTCTAAGTCAGTGTCTTCAGGCAAGTCCCTCACCTCTGGCTGCTGTGTGCAGGGCTTAATTATTTGCAAACTGCCTTGAAATCCCTGGATGAAAGGCGCTGCCTAAGTGCAGAGTATTGTTATTCAGATATGGAATTTAATGATCCATTACAGTTCATCAGGAAAATGCACTTTGCAGGGATGGTAGGAAATGTTTCTACCTGATAGAGGGGGTACTAATAACTGCTTAAAAGTAGGCTCAGATTACGGATGAGACAATTAACTCCAGCCATGTGCTCTTCAATTTGTTGCAATTCATTTTTGTGATCAAAGTGAGTCGCAGAGAGAGCCAGATGGTCAGGTTCACGTTCAGATTTCTCCTAGACCAGCCCTTCACTTCTGGGCTCGCTGTCTGCAACAGCCGAGGGGACTTATTCATTAGCGCTTGTGAATTTGTGATCAAGGCTCCAGGGGTGCCAACAAAAGGGCTCAGATCAATCTGTATTGTTGGGCGCAGTTTAATTTCACTTGGATTAACGTGTGCTTGGAGTCCCTCCTATGGGTCCAGCCTTCGCCAGGGAAGAGAGAGCAGCTGCCAGTGCCTCTCCAGCTCAGTTGTGCAGGGGACCACTGCCCTACATTTTGTACCTCGGATTCCAGGTGTCTGCTTGTTGTAAATGCTGGCTGATGCTGAATGGAAGACAGAACACCTAGGGAACTAAATACCTTTCCTGTTTGGCTGAGAGGGTGGGAAGCGGGACCAGCTTCATGGGCATGTGACCTGCACCATTGCACAGAGCGCGCCCCCCCCCCCCCCCATCTGCTCAGGAGGACCTCACGCTGGGCTTAATCTTCTGCTGTTGCCTTCTTGAAATCTTTGGTAATTCTTGAGCATGGAGCCCTTCATTTTTATCTTCCACTGGTCCTGGTGAGGGAGGGGGCATAGGGTGGAGTGGCAGGTAACGGAGACCCTGTCCCAGCTTCTTTTTGTTGACTGTTGCCAGGCAGGAATGGGTTGGGAATACTGGCTTTGTGTTGCTACGTTGACTGATTTTTCCAAGGAAAGCTGGGTGTCTAGATTTTTATGTGGAATCCCCTAGTTTTTAAAAACATTGGATCAACATTTTTTTTTTTTAATGTGGGGTGAGAACATGAAATGGGCTAAGGCATCTTCTTGTTTAATATTTCTGTATGTAGCCATTTTCTAAAGGCCTGGCACATAGTAGATGGTTTGTGAGTCTCCACCAAATGAATGACTACAGCTATTGGGGAAATTGAAAGATATAAGAAAAGCAAAACTTGAGTCCCACTCAGGGATTGGTAGCTTTCTCTTTAACAGAGAATATGAGTTGAAAGACCAACAATTAATACCAGAGGTGGCACCATGGGGTCCTCTGCAGGTAAATCACTCATTGCTTATGAACCGTCTGCCCTCTATTTAGTTGTTATGGGCCAGATGGGGCACCTTCGCTATTTAATGCTTGAGGACCTCCATGAAAATGTGACATTTGAAAGCGCCCACTAAAACAATAGCCGTGATTTATTGAATGCTCGCCATGTTCCATGTAACTCACTGACTCCTCACAGGAAAGCTGTGACGTAGGCGTGGCGCCCATTCTGCAGAAGAGGAACCTCCTCATTTTTATGTTGAAAAGAATGACATCAAAATGGAATGAGTATTTTCTTGACTGTCTAAGGGTTATTTGTCATCCTCTATACCCAATCTAGCCCTGAGGTAGTAATGACTGAGCGTAGGGTAGAGAACATAGCATACGGAGAACCTAGTCCCTACCCTCCTGTACAAGAAACAGAACAAAAAAGGTGTACAGGTTTGTCAAAATCTGTGATTCAGACAGCAGTCACTCCTTCCGCCTCCCTATGCCTCTCCTTTCTCTTCTATATGGATAGCTCCAGTGACACACGACCCTGTCAGAGACACCAGCAGCTCAGAAGTCAGGGCTGGCTGCCAGAATTGGCATTTCCCCTGAAAAAGAGGTAACTTTTGGCACACCTGGAGCTGTGTTAGGAAAAGCAGCACCGAGGCCTTGGGGGACAACGAAAATTGCACCTGGATTATCAGTGACAGTGTGTGACCCATTCCTGCTCCAACTTTACATTTTACGTAAATATTTACAAATTGTTCAAGGCCCAACTGAAACCTGATGCATTCTGTAAACTCAGTAAGATTGCCCAGAATATTACTCCTTTTGGGGGTGGGGGGACCCAGGGTGACATTTAATAGAAAAGTAGTTCGTTCTTTGTCAGTTCAAGGTTTTTCTTTTTCCTTTTATTTTTCCCCTTCCTTTTTTTTTTTTTTTTTTTTTTTTTTGTTAATTTCAAATGTCAGTCTACCTGAAACAGAAACTTAACCTTTCCATCAGCATGCTACTCAGCTTTCCTTAACGCTGGAAGTATCCTTAGAATCACCACCATGTCCTTTTCAAGGACCATTTCTTTTCTAAAGAATCTGGGAATTGAACCTTGTCCTACTAGTGGC